TGCAGTACTTACTGCCCTCATGTAAAGCTGCACTGCCCCTGATGACCAACCACCAATTGACTAAATTTGCTTCATTGTCATTCCTCCCTTCATAGTCGCAGTTGCACCCCTAATTCTTAAGCTGTATGCAGTGAACTTTCTTTGCAGTTCTGCATTTTCTGCAAATCGTTTGACTATTACAGAAACAGCTACTACAGACAATTTTTCACCTGTTCTAAGCAAAAACAATGGTTCTTCTAAAGATGTATTAGGTCTTACTCTCAGGTAGAAATATAACAACTTTGCTAGACAGAGCCTGCCTGCTGTCCTCTTAATTGGAATGAACTTCTCCTTTTCTAACTAATCTATTTTAGATCTTGAAATCCTAATCCACAACTTTCCATTTCTTTCCAATATATCTGACCTTTTTAAATTACATAGTTCACCTGGTTTATGCATTACTCTCAGGCCTAGTGCTACTAAGGCTATATCTCAAGCTCAAATTTCAATACTGATTTCTGATGATGGATAGTCAAAGTAACACTCTACTACTGCTACTGGCAAGGGATCTCTTGGCCATTTTACCTCAACTTTCTTTTGTGAAGCAACTCTTTTAATACCTTCTACTAAGAATTGAATCGAATTACTCTTTGTCAGGTTTTTAAGATCCCTCATTTTGTGCTCTTTTGCTATTACTGCTAGACAAATCATTAATTCAGATAATTTTTCTGTTGTTTTCAACCAGACAATAAAAGCTGCTAGCAGCTCTCTAGAGGCTGGATATGGTCTATAGCCTTACCAGTTTGCAAAATTCTCAAATATAATATATGCTTTCATCAGACGTTTTTTGTATACTTTACTTATAGAACTATTTATTAGAAACTTAGCTCTTCTGAGCAGCCCTTTGACCAGTCCAACAACACCACCTTCAGATGCCATAAAGTGTTTTTGCATAGTTCCAGGTTCTCTGAAGGTCCTGGTTGAATAATTTGGTTTGTTGGTGACAAATCGATTTTCTTTTTGGAAGAGTTTACTATTAACAACCACCATAGGGCTGAAACTCAAACTGGAACTATGATAACTATCCATGCCTGACACTCCTTTGCATGACACAATGCTCTGTGAATTTGGTTGAATAGGAAGCATATATAATTCCTCACCCCAGCCCAATTTTAGGTAAAACAATCTACAGTCTCTGAGCCTAGGCAAAAATATAGACTGTTGAATCTTTTGGTTGTAATATTCAAGTGGCTTGCAAATCTGTTCACTTTGAAAGTTCCCTACATTGACTCTAGATAATTCACCACTTTCACACTTAACATCCAATTCTCTGAATCGGTTACTCTTGTGAGAGGGTCTGCTAGATTCAATTTGCTTGGAACTTATCGAGTGTTGTAGATTGCAATGTCATTTTCTACACAAACTTCCCAAATCTCTCTTGTAATATCTTTTTGCTAATCTATTGTGCCCCTTTCTAATACTGTTTTTAGAGCTACCTTGTTGTTGATAAACAGGGTAATCCAAGTACCCTTTAATAATTCTTTGAATGATTGTAAAGTCTGCAGCACTGCTAAAGCCTCTAGTTGGACTATAACTTGTGACATATAGAGTTGTGACCAACTCTCTACTGCTTGGTGTTTTCTCAACACCCTACACCAGCCAGTTATTGAAGCATCAACATAGACTGGTCTCACTTGAGAGGGCTTCCAGACTGGTTGACCATTCTATTTTCTCAAGTTTTTTATCAGTCACCAAATGTTCTTGATTGCTTGAGATGACAAAGTTACTTCGTTATCCCATTCCCAAGTATATTGGTTTCTTGCATTTATTAGCTTGTAGAACTCCATATACTTTACTTGTCCTGGAAGAAAGGCTTTTAATAAGCTTACAACTTTTTCTGTCACAGAAGCCAAATCTCTTATTGTTACCACCTGTAGATCTAAAAGAGCTTCCAACTTCAAGGTTGTCACTAAAATTTTTTCTTCAGTTACTACTATTATTCCATTCAACATGTCTACAATTATTTCACAAAACTTCAAAGTCTGGGTTGGATTCCAACTTCCTTTTTCTTTGGCTCGGATCCAATCATAACCATCTAGGTCCTTCATTATTATCTTTTTCTTTATTTTCAACAGTACTTTCTTTTCTGGGTACACTACCCATATATCATCTAAATGACTTTCACAAAATATTTTCTGAGACCATCATTTGCCAATCAGTACTCTTATTAGCTTTGAAAAGATCCAAGGTGCCTGGCTTAGGCCAAATGTCAAAACCTTGTACTGGTACTAACACTTCTTTAGCACAAAACACAACTGCCTTTGAGCATCGGCATTCATTAAAACATGGTGATACCCCTCCTTCAGATCAAATGAGATTAGCTACCATTTTCAACTAATTGTTTGAAGCAGCCCTCTAACCCTTCAAAATGGGAAGATTTCTGTAGCAAAGTTTGATTTAAGCTCTTCAGGTCTATTAGCAGCCAAAACTTTTTGGGTCCTTGTTTTAGAACCAAAAAAACTGAACTTACTTCTAACAGTTCCAGTGGCCAAATATTCTCTTTAGATATCTTCACTATCACTCCTGCTTCCTCTAACTTTAATAATTCATTGTTCAGCCAACCTCTTTCCTCTTTGTAAGTTAATAAGTCTTTGGGTCTGACCAGTTTATTAAATGTATTAATTTTCTTGAAAATAAAGAAATGCCTTGTCTCAACCATCTTATTACTAACTGGAATGGCCTTATTTCTTCCTCCCAATATTTTATTACAGCTTGACTGTGAATTCTTCCTGTAACTTGAACTTCCATATCTATTATTTTCTTTGAAAACCTCTAAGTATAGTCAACTTTCTCCTTGCTGGGACCCATCACCCCGAAAGGGCAACCCAATATGCTTTTTAGAACTATATTCGTTGGCATAATGCCCCTTTTTCTTACAAATGTAACAAATGACTTCCTTTCCTTTAACTCTCTTGTTTTTGTCTGATCTCCTTTGCAATTGAGATGCTAGTCGATAGGGCTGTTGTACATGTGTTGACAGACCAAAACCTGATCCAAATTGTTGTAGCTGTTGCTCTCCAAACTGCATGAATTGTGAATTGGGTTGAAAAGGTAATGGAGATGCTGTAACAAATCTTCTAAACTGACTCTGTGGTTCCAACTGGTGACCAAAAGGTTGCTGAAAACCTGAATATTGCATGCAAGGTTGAGTAAATTGTGTTAGTTGAATATTGTTTACTTGAAGAGCTGGTGTCGGAATTAGAGACTGATCAACCTGAGGATAATAAAAAGCTCTTGTCTATTTCACTTTGGGAAAATGATATACTACCATCCTGGCCATTTTTCGTTTATTTCCCAACAGTTCAGACATTGGATCAAAACTATCTACTGCAGCCATTTTTGATGCCACCTCCCATCCATCTTTATCAGCCATCCTGACTACATAGGCTCATTCTAAAGCCACCTGCCTTGCTAAATATAATTAACTTAAATTCCCTGAAGCCAAAACCTTATCCATCAAAGCCCCCGCTTTACACCATTTATTATATTCCCATTGGTTTCGCTGTTTGGACAACTCCCACTTTTTCCAAATATTTCTATGATCCAAGTCATCCAGAGGAAAAAACTCAAATCTGTGACCCAATCTAGTGCTTTTATATCCCGGGCCCTACTATGTATAGAATTGTGACCCATAGGAACTTGTCTACTATAAAGATCATATAAATTTTCCATACCCAACCTTGCTTGTTGTGGCCTATCACCAGTCCACTGTCAAGCATCAGGTTCTTCTGAAAAACTCTCATTCAGATTTTCTGAACATTGCACATTTTTCCCTTTTCCGAAGGTTTCAAATTCGAAAACAGGCATTTCCGAGCCCAACTGGGTCCTGCCATCCTTTACTAACCTAGCTACTATTTCTTTTTTCTGACTCAACTCAAATATGCCCAAACTCTTGCAAAAGAACCTCAATGCTTCCATTTACAAACACTCCAAGCTTGCTTCTAAGCTTGTTTGAGTCATGTCAAGTTGAGGTACAGTGTCAACTGAAATAGCAGGTTCTGTCTCCTTACTTGGAGTTAACATAACGATAAGACTTGTATCAGCTAACTAGCATACGAGGTAACCGGTTTTTATTATTATTGCTTAAATTTAGATAAATAACACGAAGCATATATGATTTCTGCATGAAAAAAACAAGTATGTATATATTGCATGAAAAAACCAGACAAAGTCAGGTTAGCAGAAAAAACAGAAATTACCTTTTCTGAGAAAAATCCTGTTCCTCTTAAAAAGCTAAAAAACAATTACTAAAGGCAAATTTACATTATTATAATGCAAAATCACATATGAATTATATATGTAACTGAAACTTTTAACGATTTTGACGAAACTGAAAATCTGAAACTCTGATTCGAAACTTACACTGAATTCTGAAACCCTTGCTGAAATTCAAAATTTAGCCAAAATTTATTTTTATAAAATTGAAGCCCAGAAGTGAATATTTTTTAAGTTGTTAGTGCATTAAACTTATCTCTGAAAAAAAATATGTCTATTTAACCACACATATGATACAATAAATGTTCTAGTCATTTCTGAAAATTACAAGCAATATAGTGAATCTAAAATTTATTTTTACCTAACTTCTATTGTTATGTACTAACAAAATAATTGAGAAAAAGAAAACAAAAATATACCACATAATATTAAAGTTTATATTAAATTTCTCCTGATACATTATTCTGCACCATTGATGAAATGAATATTACTTCAAAAATCAGACTCTTAAAAACAAACACAAGCATTATTTTAAAAATATTTTTTGCAGACATTTTTGTTAAGCAGCATCCTATTGCATTATATATTCCACCCACCAAAACACCGCTTAAGAAATATGTATATTAAAAAAAAATAAAATAAAATAAAACTAAACGTATATACAGTTTAATATCTTAATTTTCAGTATTAAGTTTAATATAACAAAACTTAAATATCCACTCACTGGTTTTAATTTAAAGGCAAATCTAAGAATCCTCAACATTGTTAATTTCTATTGACATATTTCTAGCTAGTGATTCAACATCAAAATCATTGCGTTGTGGTTCTAGTACAATAGCTTGTCTTCTTGAACTGCCTGTTACCTCCTCTTCACATGTTCTTTGGTCTATATTGAACATTTGCAGCCCAATATCTATATCCTTTATAATATCTAAAGTATATATCTGAGATATATCTATTTCTGTACTAATATTGTCGTTATCTGCTGAGATATCTGTGTCAGAAAATTCGATAACATAATCGGTTTCACTATTAATTGCTGCAATGGTATCTAGGATTTGGTTACACAATAAATTTTCAGATAAATCAATTGCATAACAAGTTAATTCTTGTTTAGCATTAGTAATATAAAAGGTATGTAGTTTGCATATTCCTTCTACTAGTTCTGTAGCCAAATTGATACATCTTTGATTATAGAACCAACAGAGAACTGAAAAGAAATGCTCACAAGAAGCACTATGTGGTGTTATTACAAAAAGATGAAGTGCTAATATTTGTAATTCTCATTCTTCTTTTTTATGTTGTGCATTTTCTCATCAAATAATTGGCGTATCCGATTTAGAATTGTATAAGTGATCAAATGGCACCTTTTTACTTCTATATTTCGTATTTGTGATAATAGTTTGCTACACAATTCTTGATCATGTCCTATATCTTTCCAAATCTGTACAGCTATTATATTAATATCATGAAATTTTTGCGAATCAATGCCGCTACCTAAAAATGTATATTGTTATTAAATAAAGTTTTTATTATATATATATAAAATATATATTAATTACCATGATATCACAGATGTAAAAAAAAAAGTCAAAATATAGATGTTATTAGAAAATTCGTTTTAATGATAATTAAATTTCTCAATACAATAATTTTTAAATGCTATATTTTGATTTGGTATACGAAAAATTGCATTTGCTAATAATACTAAATAGACATAGCAATCAGTGAGATTAGAGGTTCTCAATTCTAGACATCCAACAGAAATTTTGAAAGGATGAAGAATAGATGCAATAAGCCGACAATCTTCATAAAAAATTTGATCGCGAAGAATGTCCTTAATTTGAGGTTTAAGATCATTCTCATGTTCTGAAAGAATCTATACAAATATAGAAATTAATTAGAGTTAGCATTAGGGTAAAAAGGTATATGTATTAGAGCAAAGATACAGGCAATAAATTTTGCAGCCTACAACAACTTGTAATCAAAAATCATATCCCTTGTAATTAATAAATTATAGTTTAATAGTATATTATGTAACTATATCATAACTTATAGTTGTATATTAAATTGAGATAGGCAAGTTTAGTTACTTATCTAATTTTTGCGTAATGGCAAGATACAACTTGGTGAATATTACAGTCATAGCACAAAAACTTGTCAGTCCTAATAACGATGCCATTCCAATTGTTGTCTAAATATTAATATTTGCGCTAATACAAAATAGAAGCAATATACCCAGAAAGCTGGTTTATATTTATATATTACACACTGATCTTAGAATCAGATTGAATAGTAGTTACAGAGCTGACAAATTTTTGCATCATAACTATATTACTCCAATCTGGTTTAAAATTTACTTTCTAGATTACATTTTTAAAACATAATAAGTAATAGTTATTTGTCATAGGTAACTATCTTTAAATATTTGAGTGCTTTCAAATTAAAACCTGAAGTCGCTGTAAATGTTACAGGTAACAAATAGATATATGTATAAATTATATGATAGATAATTCAAGTAATTTCATATGTTGAAAAAAGCCCAATTTCTACTTACAAGTTTTAATTAACAACACTTATATCGATATGACAGCACTTATATTTTTTTTAATTTACTTAAATTTGTTTCACAAGAATTTTACTACAACAGAATCATATAATTCAAGTTGCCTATTCATACATATATTAGTTATGACATAAGTTATAGTGATAGCACACACTACAGCAAGTTATAACTAAGTTTTGATATGGCATAACCCATCACACAAAAATAAAATAAAATTAATACTTACTTTTACAAAAGCAAACTCAAGTCATACAATTGAGTTTATACAATTCCACATTGTAGACCAACATGTTTTTGTATGATCTTTTAAATTGCCACCTTTAATCTTCAATATTTCAATTACATCTTTCAAAAATTGACATGTGGCATATGACTTTGTAAAATATTGATGGATAATACCTATTTTCCGAACTACATTTTTTACAAATGTGTGTTTGCACAAGTCTTCTATAATTAAATTAATACAATGCACTATTCATCTAATATTAAAAATATGCAGATATTTCTCACACAAAGTTCTTCATGTAACACAAACATTAGCTGCATTATCAGATACAATTGTGGCTATTTTTTCAGGACCAATATCTTCAACAACATTAATAATTTCTTTATCAAGAAATTGACCAGTATGATGAGATATATTGGAATAATTTTTTGAAGACCAAAGATATTCTTTATGCTCTTCAGTGATTATACAATAATCATATATAGATTGACCTATAGATAGTATAGAAGTCGATTAGTTAATTTAATTGACAAAATGATGTAATCTTTGCAGATC